TGAAATTTAAAAAAATACTGGTTAGAAAGAGATTCTTTTCATTAATTGAAAATAATTTACAACATTTTGACATGGTTTGAAAAAAGGGGACAAGTGTAAACTGAAACTTTTCAATTGATTTTTTGAACATTGTCCATTAAACTGTTTACTTTTTTCATTTTTTAAAATTCAACCATTAAAAATATTGTGCATTTTAATATTAGTGAACTGCATTTATACAACCGATATCACATATTGGAAAGCATTGAATGATGCTATTATAGTAGAACCAGTAAATGTTTTGAGTTCGTTTTTCCATTCAGCAATGAATAATTTCAGACGATAATTTATAGGGATTGCCTTAGGAAATTCACAAGTATTCAATCAAATAGTTATATTGCAAAATTTCGCATGAGTTTATTCAATATCTTGAAAACCGATCAATAAGATAATTCTTTTGATCAGCATATGTTCTTTTCAGTTATTTATTTTATTGAACTATCGTCGTCGAATGAATAAAATTCTAACCAAACTCAAATAACACACACATAATAATTGGCGGCGCCTGGGGAGTTCGATAGCCACCTTAAAAAAGAAAATAATTTATGTTGACTGTGGCTCGAGCCTTGTAGTAATTGTAACTGTTTCATTTCAATTTTTCTTAATATTAGTTGAGCTGAAATAAGACTTTTAAAAGCAATAAAAAGGATTGTATTCGATGGTGAGAACGTCAAATCAAAGTTAAATGACTTAAAGAATGCATTTTATACTTTTTTGCTTGTTTAACATCTTCAGGAACAATTGTTATTGCAAATCCATTTTTGATTTGAGTTATTTTACGATTGCCTTAGCGTAACATTCAGGTGGAAATTAATGAAAATAAAAAGAACGAACAATTATTTGGATTTTAGGCTGCTACCAAGTTGGCGATGTTTTGAATATTTCCGTGGATTCTTATAACAAGATATTATCAACGACTCAAATGTATTAACTCGTTATCAAGAAAAAGCCGACAATAATTCATGATTAATTCATGACAAATCTTTAATTGGTTATCAGTTTTTGTAGATATTTTTAATTGATTTGGGGACAATTTGGATTGGCAAGTTTTATATTTCATGACGAGTAGACAATCGTTATATGCCAAATTCAATTCAAATTCATTTAGAAAATTCGAAATTGTAAAATAAATGAAAAAATGAATGGAGGAAATTTTAATCAACCCAAATCGCTTTGCAAATGAATTGTTTTTTTTTTTTAGTTATGCTACAAATGAATTGCTGTTAGATTTGAAACACAAAACTTATCCATTTGACACTATGCATTTGTAAAAACATATACATTCCATGGGATTATGTGGATCTTTGTTTAAAAAAATTGACAAAAATAACAAACAGAATGGGCAAACGCGTTAAATTTACAACGTAAAAATGTATAAAGAACGTTGTTCACTGGCCATTTCAATCCATCATTTGGATTTGAATATTCACCCTTTAAATCTTATTTTATCATAAATAATGAAAGGGAGTGTATCGTTGTAATTAAAATGGATTTTCAAATCGTTTTAATAATTTAGTGATGTAAAATGTAAAATATTAATACCGTTAAATGTTTTTCATTCGCTAAAAATTAGTAGTTATATTAAAATCAGTAATGTGCGAGCTACATTTTACAGGGGGAGTGATTTTTCAAAAACAAAAAATTCTCTAGCAAATCAGACAAATTTTCGTTTTTTTTTTTTTTTTTTTTGGAAGTCACTTTTTGAGGCGAAAATCCCTAGCAAATCGAAAGAATTTTCTCCGCGAAAAACCCTAGCAAATTGAAAGAATTCTCCTCAATTTTCTACATTGATGAGCTAAAAAAAAAAAAAAGGTCTTCACTTTTTTCGTGAAACTAGCTTTTCGCGAAACATTTTTCTCATCCAAATCACGGGGGGGGGGGGGGAAACCCCCCCCTTCCTGATTAAAATGTCGAAAGATCGACATGTGCATTTTGCTTACGCCCAACATAAGATGTATCTGCTAACAAATAATTCGATTTTAATAATTTGCATGCTATACAAAATAGAAATATATTTTTATCTGCAAAAATATAAGTTGACGTTTCGAATGGATCAACTCGCCCTTGCTTACTAACTGTAAATGATAGATTACCGGCTGGGACTTTTCTTATATTACACATGAATTAATTATTCACAGAAAAAATGTCAACAACAGAGCACAGGGATTTTTACGTTTTCTCCCTTTGTTTTGAAAATGACAAGCGCGTACACATCATTCGAGACATTCGAAAACCGAGAAAAAACGTTTAACACACTCAACGCTTGAATTGTGAAAGGGTGCAAATCAGTTACAGTTGTAAACAAAAGATTCTGCACGTGAAATTGATATATTAAAGGCGTTATAATGTTTTTTCATCATTTGTGAAAATGATGAATCTATTCCATTCATTTTTTTCATTTGAGTTGAATGGATCAATAACAGCGAATTACACACTGAAAAAAATATATAATTCGAAACATATTTATTGTGTATAGCGTAGTTAATTTGTGATGTACAAAAAATTATATATTTTCAATCCAAGCTTTTTGTTTCGTTTCGTTTCATGAGAAAACTTTAAACACTTTAATGAAAGTCAATGAGTTAATCAATATTAGAATTTCCAATCAACAGGTTAAAAAAATAGTATTTGGGACATAATAAATATTTTTGGTAAACTGAATAAGTCAAAATCATTTTTTTATTCATATTATCATTTTAAAGCAAAGTCATCTACGATTACTAAACTCAGAAATAGTCAACAGTTTTTATTTTATGTAATAGTTTTTATATTTATCTTGTAACGAAAGATTGTGATGCTCAAAAAATATTTGTTTTTTACCTTACTGAAAGGAACTGGTCTAATAAACATATTAACTCAAATTTGCCCCATGTATTACAAATATTTCAAAATTTTTATCATTTATTCTGTATTCTTTATGAAAATATATAAATATAATAGACAATGTAATAAAAAATAGTTTTCCAGAATGTTGTATGACGGAGCAAATGTCTTCTTTTACAGTCCCAATTTAAAAAACGCCTGGCGGCACGCAACCAAAAGATTTCCAATTTTTTAGTAAAATTTCGGGATGAAATAAACTTTAGTCTTAGTGTTCTATTCACAAATAAAGGCCAAATATCAAAATCAAAATCATCTTGCTTAGACTATTACCACATTATAATCGCAGAATGTTTATTTATACGACATACGTGATGTGCACTCACAGTGTATTAAACTATAATGTAGCATATTGCGCAAAAAAGAGGGAGAATATTCAATAATACCAGAGGGGTACCATGGCAAATTTAGTATGAATGGAAGACAAATCCGAGATTTGTGCTGAAAATGTTATATTTTATCATATTGTTTTTTCAACTCTCGAACTCATGATATCCAATCACTACAAACATCAATAAATATGAGTACCTAGGGTTTATCATAAGAAAATGAAAAAAATGGAAATTAATCAAAAAGTAATGGAACAGAATGAAAAAAAAAAATCGAAGGAATGGATCAGGAATTGTTGAGTAATGGAATAGTAAGTTTTGAGCCTGCTATATATATATGAGTACTTTTTGGGTGGTTTTGTGATTTAGTCATATCTTTGAAGCATTCCATAGGTTGATTTGTACGGAAGCAGTATTCGAAAACGTGAAATTTATGATAACATGAAGCACTAACTTGAAATCGCGTTTCATGTTATTGAATATCTTGCAAAAAAACAGTTTCTCAATGTGAATTTTATACGTTTTGATAATATTACGTTTCAATAAGTTTAAAAAAATCAAAAATGTCAAAATCAATTTCATTTTTTTGCATTTATTTGTTGTTCATCATTCTTATACTATTATAATTATCATTGTTAATAATACAGACTACAATTAAATACATTATTCAGTTTCCATTAATTAATTTCTTCATCTTTCTCAAATTATTTTCTAGAAATAAGCTTGTCGCTTATTTTTTGCGTCACTCTATTATTTAGAAAAAATTGTGTTTTCAATTAGTGTACGTGAATTTCTTATAATTAATTATAGTTTAAGTATATTTTTGTATGTGTTTTCTTTAATTTCATATTAGAATTATTCACATTAAGTTATATACAAGAGGTTTTTTGTAGTAGTCTCTCAAAAATATTTGTTCTTTACTTTTTTGATAATAATCCAAATCCACAAATAATGATTCAAATCCAGACTTTAAATTATAAGAACTATGACGCCCATTTTATTCGATAATTTGTTTTTCGTATTATTTTTAAATGACAGTGAAAAAAGTCTTTGAATGGATTCATGCGGTAATTAAATACTTTAAATATGTTATCGTTGTAGATCAATGACTTCTGATGTGGTCAATTATACATTTGATTATTGTAAAAAGTAGAATTCTTTAATAGATAGACCAAAAATTCTTATTTTAGATTTTTTGTTGTTTCAAATGTTAACCCAGTCTGAATAAATGTTGCAAACTTTTGTCGAACTTTCGGTTTTTTTATATTTATCACAGATTACGAATTGTTGACATTCTGTATTCTATTGATCTCTGAATTTTCCAAAACTCTTTTTTTGAATTTTTTCATATTTATGATTACAATCGCCGATTCTTTATCTAATTTGCACACTATCATCTGCCTTGAAGTAGAGCATATGATTTTTCGCTATTGTTAAACATCTGAATAACGGAATAGCATGGAATAGAGAAAATATTTCTGCTATTGTGGAATTACCAGTGATGGTTTTTTCCTATCTGAATAGCGCTAGCTATTCGCAGCGCCTGTACAGCATTGCTGCCCAGATGCTGAATCGTAGCGGTTGCCGCACGCGCAACACACTTCGTTTGTACCACACAGAGCATATACGTTCGCGTTCGTTCTCTGTTCGACATGCGTTTGTATACTGACTATGGTATTAGTGTATCATACTCTGTGAGCTCACTGGTTACTTAGACTATATGATAATATGTTGTGTGGTACAAAACGCGTGCGGCAACCGCTTCGATTCAGCATCTGGGCAGCAATGCTGTTCAGACGCTGCGAATAGCTAGCGCTATTCAGATAGGAAAAAACCATCACTGGGAATTACCGACCAGAAACTGCAAATATGTGTCCAATTAGTTAAAAGGTTTTAAATGGAAATAACTTGCTAAACTATTCATTAGCCTCCGAAACGGCAAAGCATTCCAGACCTATGTTTATACAATTTTACTCTGTCAGGAATGAAATCGGCCGAATGGAAGTCACCATATTAAGCACTTTATCACTTAGATTATATAGATAATTTGGAAGAGAAGAAAATGTTCTTTTCATTGAGATAGTAATGTAGTTGTTGCACGTGCCCGTTTTTAGTATATTGTATCTCCAACATCTTGTCTTCATGAGGTCTTAAAATAAAAGAATCCAATCCTTTGTATTTAATTTATATTGACTTTAATCATGCTCTACATTCAATCAAAACAAACTACTACAGAATACACTTCATTTAAATGTCACTTGATAAAATCCTTTAACCTATTTGGTGATTTGAAATTACTACTTCAATCCTACCGCAATTATTCGTTACCGTCTCTGCAAATACAATTCACTAATACTGGAGCGTATTATGCGATCAATCACATAATATATTGGACTGACTATTGAAATGAAATGAAATAACACGCTAAATTGGTTTTTTCGATTGTGTGAATACAACTATTAGTCTTTTTATTATTTACCGACAAATGTAGAGTTCTATTTTGGTATTTTAAATGTCTACATTTGTCGCACAAGCATTTTAGCGTGCTATTTAGCCTCAGTTCAAATTAATAGTCATCTCAATGCATTATCTGGAATTTATTCTGTATTATTGAATTAGCGAAAATGAGTGCATCCTGCCAATGTTACTAATTCTTTGAAAATTTAAATAAAAAGGAATTTCAGATATTATATGAATTAAGCTCCTAATTTGTTGCAAATACATGTACATATATGTATGTGAAAAACGTTTTGCGTACATTTGTAACAAAATAAGACATTTTGTCTTTGCGAGAATGATTGATATTGATCCACCTTTTTTCTGGAAATTAAGCCTATTTTGAAGCATTTTCAGTCATTAATAATACATCTTTCTAGCGGTAAACTGATTACTTACAATGTTTCAATGTATTTTACAACTGTCACTTTTTCATAGTTTAATTCAATTAAATTGTTTGGGTAGAGTTTAAACCGTTCAAAGAAATTCAATATGTTTAAATTGTTTAGACGTGCGAAGCTTTGATGAAGATATTTGTTTTGAGAAATTAAAAATATGAAAAAACCAGTCTAAACTTTTATAACTTAACTATTGGATTTCGCTGGATATTTATTAATACGCTGCTGAAATAGCAGATATTTTGATGCGTTTTCGCGTTTATAGCAGTCTACTTGTACAATAAGAGTGATTGTAACAACTCTTAAATCTTTAAAAATCACTTCTGTGGTTTGAAATATTTTTGTTTCGAAAATGTATCTTAAAGATATTGTCGCGCAGATGTATGTGACATCCAGTTGTTTTCAACGCTGTACACTGAGCTAGTAAAATTTTGTTCATATTTGACTTTTTTTTTGCAATGCAATAATTCGAAATTACAGTCGCTGTTTGTAGTAATTCCGAAAAGTCGTGGTTCACGATCGATTTTCTGAATTGGAACTTCTAAAAATGTCGGATTGTCCAAAAAAGTCAAATATGAAAAAAATTACTAGCCTACTGCATACAATAGACGCGTATTCTTGAGCTTGTAAGGATCAAATTGTCATTTTACTGTTTATGATTTTATGGTATAGTTTTTCGATTGTACATTTAAATAGTCTTGAAATCTTTCCCTTGTTTTTCTTTTAACTCGTGTTTTGTTTTATATTTTGTTGAATCAATCATGGTTTCCCAATATGCTTCGAATGAAAAATATCGTAACATTATAAATGCTGTATACAATTTTCTAACCCACATTTTTAATTCAATTAAATAATTTTTGAAAGAAAAATCCTATAGGAGCTAAATTATTATTATAAAGATCGCTTCACTCTGAACAGGCAAAAGAACTTTCTTTATGGAGTCATGAACTAATTCTTGCATTGACACTAAAACTAATAAAATAAAATCTACTTCTGAAATGAAATTAAATAAATTGAAAGTTAAATTTATAAGCAGTTTTTTGTAGGTAGTTTCCAAATTCTTTCGCAGCTATTGCTCGTGAAGCATTTTAATCAGTTAATGTTGTTTAGTCTCGAAGTGCACACGACGTATTCACCCGGTAAACTCGTTGTAACAATTTGATTTATCCCTCTCCTGAAAAATATAACATTTTAATAAATATTAGTACTTTAGGGCTTGTTTCAATAATTTAACGTATCCATTAAATCATATTATGCGAATTCCATTTTTTTATGTATGTTCGAATTCTAACCTTTGAATTTGTACTACTCAAAAAAGTGAAACTATGCAAAAGTAAATACTGGTTAAGTGATTGGGATACTTGGTGAATTGAAAATTAAAAAAACATATGTAGATTTTTTATTTATCATAGTCATTTATAATATTTAATGATAATTTGGATATAATGGAGAAGTGAAAAGAAGACATAATATGAAACCAGTAAATTTGAATCATTTGTATTAAAAAAAAAACATGTGACAATGAAAATCGACAAACTGCCCACGTAAGTTTTGAACGAATTTCGTGTTTTAACATTCATCCAATTTATCTTTGACTTGATTTAAACTTTACATGTATTTATATTTATGAATTTTATATTTATAGTTTTTGTGCATTTCCATTGAAATTTTCCGTTGGCTGTTTTCATTGGTGTAATTCTTCTGACTTGGAAATTGTCGGTTATTTTATATTTTTCGGCTTCAGTCGTTTTCTGAATAAACCTAAGAAAGCTAAAACTATACATGGAGAAATGTATTGACCAGGATTCAAAAACAACTCGTTGAGATTAGAGTATGTTAATACAAGCGAGTTGATTCTGGCGATCTATTGCGATTTGTACCTTTTTCATTTCATTTACAAAGTCTTTTTCATTCCTTTTTATCTTTCTTTTGTCTCATTTTTATGAATGAATCTTGCTTTTGTTGGTATTTAAAGTCTTATCAAAGTTTACAATCAATGATCTTGACTGTACAACTATTCAGACTGTACAAATAGCTGGAGACCGTATTCAGAAACACGCAAACAAACCATTTGTGAAAAATGACCGAATGAATGAAAATCAAGAAATTCGAACATCCGAAGGCGACGGTGGAATGACGTACAAACACAAAATATGCGATGAACGTGAAGGCATAAAACGAAAAGAAACTGCGGCGGGTATAGTCTCTCTTAAACAGAGATATTATTAATAGTCTTTATCTGTAAAATTAATTTGATTTTTAAGCGGTGTCAGAAAAAACACGGTCAGAAAAAAACGAAAATTTCTTTGAAAAAAAAAAGAATGATCAGAGAAATAAAATTCGTATTGGATGAGATCATGTTGTTTTTCAATTTTTGTGTGGTCAAATCAAAGAAAGAAATGTTGTAGAAGTTATTCTATGTGTGGATGTTAACCGCAATGTACGAAATAATACAAAGCATTAATGATTCTCCTATCGGCACCTAAAACGACAGTGATGGACGAGCTGAGTGAGATTTTAATCTATCATCGATTTTATACCGAATTTTTGTCGTAGCATTTGACGTTTCCTCTCATTAATTTTATTTTATATTTTTCAACGATACATGTCGAGGCGGGGAATGGAAACAAACTTTATCAAAGATATCGGTGAAATAGAAAAAATTCCATGGTACAAGATGGTTATAAATGTATACCAAATAAATCAGTTGGGTTTCATTGCACAGTATTTCTTATCATTGTCATCGTTTTTGGCGAATCGAATTCAGTTAACGGACTGATAAACCTTTGTCAAATTTATGAGCATCTAAATGAACATGTAGAATCGATAAGATTTTTGTTTTTCTAGCAATAATGATGCAATTTAGAAGTTAATCAAATTATGTATAATAAGATAAATTTGAATTATTGTTGGATTCGTTTTTTTAGTTTGCCATCTTTGAAAAAGGTAATCTTAAAAAATATTAACTGTTTGCTTTTTACAAATATTTTGTTACTACATATTGAAGATCAAAGATACATGAATCACAATCAATAAATAAAATCAAAAAGCGTACATCCGTTCACTCCAAAATACTTTGTCAACTATGATCCTTATAAACGAATCAATGATAATCTCAAAGGTACATTGGGCTATCAATCGGAATCAGCTTTGGTAACCTTAGGTAATGAAGCGAAATAAGGTTGCTTTTTTTTATTTATTTATCTTTTTTCCACTTATTTTTAATTTCTTCAACGTATCACACAGCTCTTTTCCATCTCATTCTATCTGAATGGTAAAATAAATATTTAAATTAGCCGAAAAACTGTCAACGATTTATTTTATAACTTTTCCAAAGAAATTGACGTTGAACCAAACGCGAAGGGACTGCAACAAATAATGATGGACAAGTCAAAAGGGAAACCTAACACTTGAAAGAAAACCGAACTGTGGCCCATGGATGATATGTTGAAAAAAAAAAAACGTCGTCAAATACATTTTGATCAATGGCCTTATTTTCAATTTTGGTCATTTGAACCAATTCCACTTGTTGGTATATTTTAGGCGATATATCTTTCCATTCGTAATGTCCAATGTTTTTTTTTTCAACAATGGTGTGTCTTGACTGGCAATATAATAAATCTTCAGATTTTAGTGTTTACTTTTAAGGCGTTTGGTGTTTTAATTTCCGGTCTAGGGCGTTATATGTATTTTTTAATTAATTATGTAAATCAAATCGGATTCATTTAAACAAGTTTTTAATTCATTTTCATGTAATTAAATTATTTATTAGCTCAAGAGGATTTATAAGATGTAACCAAGGATAATTTAATTTATTCGATGTATGTAATAATAAACAAACCTTTTTGAATATGATGTGTGTTTGATTTCGATCAGATTGGTTTCACAAAAAGTTACTATATTTTTATATCTTACTTATCGAACTGCAACTTCAAACCGGTGCAACAAATCCATTATTCATTTGGCCACTAAAATACAATCGAGTCATTTAAATATTCCAAGTGAATGAAAAAAATATACCATACCTTTTAAAAAATGGTTTAAAAGCCGCACTATCTGGGTAGCCACCATTCTGGTTACTATTTTGATTATTGTTCACATTATCATTCCAGTGCGTTACATTACCTGTAATAATTTCAAAAAAAAAATCATAATTATCAGATAATATGTTATTTAAACAGGACAGCTGAAAATATTATAGAAACTTTATAATGAAATATTATTTTGTGATATTATTGTTATTCTATACATAACCGAAAAAAGAGATAAAGTGACCTTGTGACTAGTTTTTACGACTATACAATGTTTCTTTAAATTATTTATTTTATAAAGTAAAAAAAAAACTTTTTAGTGAAAAGAATTATTTACTTTTCAGATTTGGCGGTGTTTGTGGTGGCGTTAAAGCGATTTGTCGTAATGATGTCAAATCATTTTGATTTCTAAGGGACGTCAAACTGATTTGGCTTCCAAAATCTGTTTGGGCTTCTTGAAACCCCATCGACTGTTGTAGCTGTTGTTGTGGTGTTGTCAGGTTTTGAATATTTGAGTTGGAGTTGGTCGAATTGGTATTGCTGTTCTTGTTGGAATTGCTGATATTATAATAAAATTAGTATGAAGTATTGTAGCAAATGACTTGCATAATAAACATTCCAACAAACCTGAGCGTGGGATGCATTTGATGCGTATTTGTATTGTTCGTATGGTGAGGTATTGTATTGGTCGTATTGTATGTTAGAAACCCCGTGTACCGCGAATAAGGATTGTTGGCATAATTTCCGGTCATTGCTTGCGGATTCGAAACTTGGTGCTGTTGAGTATTGTGCAGATGACTGGTGGAACTCTGAATTGTATTCGATCCGCTCACTGTTTGAGAAAAAAAACTTAGAATATCGACATCAATTCAGGGCTTACCAACAGATAAATTTGCACGCACTCGCATAAAGTGTGTATGCACTGCAAATTACATTTTTTCGTCGTATGAAAAAACTTATCTGAAGGTATGCCAACAGTATAGCAAATTGTCCAGATAAAAATTAAATCGTAAAATGTAACCTTGGAGTACGGTATTGCCGATAGGATTTGTCGGTGAATTGCCCATCATCATTGAAGAAAGATCGCCACTTTGATGTGAATGAGGATTGTGCGAACTGTGGGGATGCGTATGAGAGTGGTGATATGGATTTATCCAGGCGCCGTGTTGAGATTGTACTATTGGAGGAGGTGTTTTGGAAGCGGCGGTGGCAGCTAAGCTCCATATTTTCGGCTTCGATGCTGGAAGGGGGATGCCACAGTCGCTGCTTGTTTGGTTTTTTGAACCAGGTACCATTTCTTCTTTAATTCCTCCACTGGCTGTGAATTAAATTAGTGTTTTGATCAATATTTTTGGAAAAAAATTAAATCAAAAGATATGTAATAACGACTTACCGCTCCATGCACTTAACATTGCATGATGATGATGATATGGCGGATGGTGTAAGTGATGTTGACCTACGATATTTTTTTATAAGTCACGTTTTTTTTTTTTCAATTTTTCCGCATATTTGGAATTAGTATTAAACGAAATTGGAAGTTTACTAATAAATTTTACCTCTGTGATAGTTTACAGATTGCATTGGGCCTGGATGTCCAATTATTTGTTCTACTTTACGTTCGTCATCAGTGATATCATCATCATCTTCATCTTTACAGTGTTCAGATTTCACACGATGCAATTCTAAACAAAAATTGTATGTTTTTTAATTTGAATAGCTATGAATTGTGGCAGCTGATATAGAAAAAATCAATGATAAGTAATTGAATTTGATTACAGGTATTGTGTCATAAATTTTATGTCGCCTTTCAAGTAAGATTCTTAAACGATTACCGTCGTTAAAATGCACTTTACCAATTCTATCCAATAACCTAATAAAATTATTGACCCATAATAAACTTATTTCGCAATTCCAGGCGGTGAATTAAATAAAGTCAAGCCGGGACATATGAACAGGATAATACACGCCAAGTGTCAAAAGCACACACACACTCACAGCTTCATTTTAACACCCTCTCATTTTGAATTTTCCCGTATAATTTTACACTGACATTGAAAATCGTTTTGCAACAGAGTGAAATCATAGTAAAACATAATCCCCTTTTACAGTCAACAACACGTTTATATATGGGTTCCTCATTTAAATGAATATCGGGATAAAGGGAGACAAAAATAGATATGCACTGCTAGCATTGAAGAGTTTCTATGTGGCATTACCCTTGGTTAATTTTACCAAACACATTTCAATCATAATCATTTCAATCCATGTGTATAATACGATGTTGAAATATACCCAAGAAGGAGAGCATAGTATAATAAAAAATTTATTTTCTGATTGACTGAATGAAAATCTAATGAATAGACTTTGACTGCTGTCGATGCTGCTCTTGTTTTTCAACGAAATTTTTGGGAAACGAAGTGTGTCTCCCTTGTGTTAACCATATCACTTTTTCTCTTTAAGTAACTAAAAAGGCCCGCGTGATCATATCCATTATCCGATTAAGTAAAGTGAATATGCCACTTGTTTATATAATAACACGCACACAACACTTAGTTCCTTCAGTTATATATGTTTTCTCATTCTTTTCACTGTTGCGTTTTACATCGAAACCATATAAAGCAGAGGAACTGGAAATACCCTCCTGCAGCCAAACGATCCAAATAAGAAAAGTGGCACTCGGCTATTTATGCGGGAGTGTATAATGTGCGAATCGTGAGTATTATATGCGACCACATTCTTTTTTCCGATGCCTTTTCTCGTGTTTTCCCCTTCTTTTGACAACATGTGTAACAACACCAACAGGGGCAGCAGCAACAATGACGGTTTCTATTTAAATTGAGTGATACGCAAAGCGCTCAAAAGATACACAAAATGAAACGAATTGAATTGACGATGATATTTATGGTCTGTGAAGAAAATCTGTACTTCCCCAAGCGTTTTAACCTCAACAATTTTCTACTCTATTTCAAACAGACGAACCCTATCATTAAATAACATTTTGAGAGCGCGCGTACGCTATTAATCGGCCCCGACACACATGAAATATTTATATCTGTATTTTGTATACAGTATATTTATAATGAAATTCTCACTTTGAGATAATAGCACATTATTATATTATCGATATACCACTGTGATAGAGCAATCCCAACAAACAAAAATGTAATATTTTTTTATTCATTTTAACGTTGAGAAGTGCGAGAAATTCAACTATGGTTGCGACTTTTTGTAATTCACACACCAATACGAAAGGTGTATTTGTTCAAAATTAAACCACAGAAAAAGAGAAATTATTATTTTATAATTTGTCTGCTTAATTTGGTGATAAACCACACAAAATATAAAAGAAGATAAAATGTTTGCCAACTTTGTGAATTATTTTTCAATTTTATTTTTTTCTTTACATCCATAATTTCGAATTGGAAAAAATGTCAGAGATGACTTAAATGGCCAAGCCTAATTATATATGTATTTGTAATTTAAAATCAATTAATTTTTCTGAAGCAAATTTTTGAAAAATAGAGATGAAAATGCATTTCGACTGTTCCAATACCGTTGATACTTTATGTTTCATCGAATGCAGTATCATTTTTTACGGATGTATACTACGAAAGTATTTTCAGTATCCTTATATATGTACCAATTTTTTTTCTTCATATAAAACACATTTACGTGTGTATATGATAGAACGATTTGAAATGCGGAAAATAATGGAAATAGAGAGAAGCTTTTTTGTTGTACAAAGCAATTTTACAGTTTTTCATATCATGAAACACGATTTTTCTTCACGTCAATACATATAACGTGTCTCGACACATGTGTGTCTAAATAACATTTGTCATGTGCCCATATGTATGGATTTGCACTTAGGCAAAAAAAGGAAAAATAGATGAAATATGCGAATGAAAAACCTGTCTCTTCATTCTCTACTCGAATGATTTTGTGTTCATTTGTATTAAACGTCCATACAGCTATAAACAAGTAAATGAAGTATGATCGCAGAATAGGCACATGTAGTTCACTGTTTGTCTTCCTACGCACACGTACAATTGTGATGATGAGAGAAAGCGAGCACTTTAACTCAACGCCTCTTCATCGACGAAAATTGAATGATTATTTTTATATGAGCTCCCGTGAGATATGATTGCAATCTTCAATGCGAGTAAAATTGTTGGAATAAACAGGGTGTACACAAATTTTTACCACATTTTTCTAGAGACCCTAGTTTAACACAAAAATTGTGATATCAAAATAAAAAACCAATAAGTTTTTTTATATGCATCGAAATTTGTTTCTCAAAAAGCAAAAAATTCATATAACATTTTCGATTTTTGACTCAAAAACGAAAATGTTGTATCGAAGGTTTTAGTTGAAATTTTTACAAACACCCAGAATATCACTCATATGAAACCTCAACGCTATGCGCGTCAAATCGACGTTATTCGACGCTATTCCATGTGTATATAAAATTGTACATTATGTTTTGCAGTGCTGTGCAAACGCAAACATGCGGCCATATATGTGCACATATACACCAATACACAGCAACACAGGAACTCCGTTTATGTGCGCGCTATACTTAGTTGCCTGTTATGTTTTGTGTATTGATGTGAATTGCGACTCAATCACAGTAGAGGGTGCAGGCAATGTAAAACATAATGTACAATTCTATATACACATGTGTATATCGAATAACGTTGATTTGATGCGCATAGAGATAAGGTTTCATATGGGCATTTTCATATTTTTGGTGACTTTTGTATGTGCGGGAAAGTAGTTATCTTGTATTGAAGTACTTTAAACATTGCTAAACAGAATCGCAGAATGTTTGTATAAAATAAACGATTCCAATGATTCGGACTATTTTAAAGTCTCTTAAGATTACGCCGATTATGATTCCCAGTGTCTAACCCTTAGATTGAATGTAAGTAAATTCAAAAATATTGAGTTTTATGTATTTTCAGAATATTTGAATGATGAATTTTGTAACAATAACAAAATATAATAACTAACGTGGGTGACTTTTTTTTAAATAAGTACAAAACACATCTTTTGGAGTTCCCACTGTGACGCAATACTGTAAATCTGGAAATGCTCTAATATAAATTTTCAGTGACGCGTTCGTTCATATACATACAAAATGTTAATATTGCGTCGCCTCTTTTACCGCAAAAATATAAAATTTGGATTACGTGAAAAAAGTCATGGTCATTTTGAGCCGAAAATGTCACATAAGACAATACTTGCAGAATTTTTTTAAAGAAAATCCCATCCTGATTCCGGATCCAGAAAGTTAAGTCTTGACCTTTCCAATGACGTATAAATCATTGCAATACCTTTCAGATGACCAGAAAAATGTCTTACCAAAAATCTTGACCCCAGACCCGAGAGACATGCGAAACGAAATCAAAAATTTCAAAAGCACATGTATTCTCAGTCTTCCATCTACTTTCAATAAAAATTGGTTTCAAAACTTTTTTCAAAAAGTACGGAGAAAAGAAGCGAACAAACAAACAATACAATAATTGGGCCACCCGACCAATTTCGAGGTTTTCGACCATATTTGGCGAATTGACTATATCTCGGGCACTTTTCGACCGAAATAATTTCGGTGGTCAAAAATCGGAAAAAATGCAATTCAGCAATTATTTCAAACTGCCACCTGGCGGGCAAATTTTGAATTTTTTTTATATATATATGTTGGTATTGCGTCACTTGGGGGACTGTCCGAGTTCGTCCGACTTTACTTAGAACATCGGACACCGTTTGCCAATATCGGAGCGAACTCGGACGGACAGAGTGATGAGCTCAGACTTTCTTGTTCGACTTTCAAAATGTTTCCAACAAAATATTTCATGACATTAAAAATAAAGAAAAAAAACTATAATCATAATCGATTTTCAAAAACTCCAAATTTAACCTCAATAATTCATCTTAAAATTCTCCAATAAAGTATTTTTTTTTTAAATATTTTTGCCATTTTTTATGAAAAAATAAATAAAATTAAATATGCAGCAAAAATATATCAATCTAATAATTTCGATATTTTGTATTGTTTATCTCAATGTAAAGAATGCGTTCATGAGCTGTCTTAAGTTTTGCAGTGAAAATTCATGAAATATGTTGAGATTTGGGAGCCGAGAATTGGACGACGAATATTCGACATTTAGAATTTTCGATGTTACGACGGAAAAAATGGAAAATAATAATATTTTTGAAAATTAATTTCTTTTGACAAGTGTGAAACGGAGCCCGATCATGGTATAGGATTTCCTATATAAAACTTGTAACTAACAACACCTCTAATGCGTATTCCGAGTACTAATTGACGTTTGTGACAATATGGCCGTCACGGTTTGGCAAAATCATAATGAATCGATTAAACTGCGTTAAACTGTTAAAATAAAACAGTAGAAATAAATAGATTTTAATTTTTTACATTTTTGAAAATAAAAAATCTTTTGTTTTTTAATTTTGTGAGATTTTCTGTCCACAATATTCAAAAATATTAAAATAATAAAAATAAATTGGTTGACATAACCTCACTTTTGTATCACAATAGTGATAAACCGATCAAATAATTATTAAAACGAAAGTGAGGTTATGTCAACCACTTCATTTTTTATTAATTTAATATTTTTGAATATTGTGCAGTAAATCTCACGAAACTACCGGAAACTACATAACAAAAGAAACAATTTTTATTTTTTTAAATGTAAAAAATGAAAATATTTTTATTTCTACTGTTTTAATAATTATTTAATCGGTTTATCACGATTGTGACACAAAAGTGAGGTTATGTCAACCAATTCATTTTTATTGATTTAATATTTTTGAATATTGTGGACAGAAAATCTCACAAAATTAAAAAACAAAAGATTTTTTATTTTCAAAAATGTAAAAAATTAAAATCTATTTATTTCTACTGTTTTATTTTAACAGTTTAACGCAGTTTAATCGATTCATTATGATTTTGCCAAACCCTGACGGCCATATTGTCACAAACGTCAATTAGTACTCGGAATACGCATTAGAGGTGTTGTTAGCTACGGGCATGATCAGGCTTCGGTGTGAAATGAAGCTCAATTAAATTCTGACATTTGGGCGAGTGTCCATATCTGTTTTGTTTAAAAAGAAGTTTCAATTCTCTGTTCAACAGTGTCAAAACTAATCAATCAATCTCAAGATCAATAATATTTATATCACTATTTTTGCATTTCATTAAATGTGATGATCATGTAATTAATAGGCTATTTAGTATAATCAATCCTCCTAACTGGTAAATTGAATAGAAAAAAATGAACATTAACTCATTGATTCAAATGTTCATATTAAATTTCGTAATTAAAGTGTCTAGTATTTAAAGTGCTTTCAGTAGTTTTCTACACATTGTGCAGCCAATGTACATATTGTTTTTGTTATTGTACACACGTTATACGCCCCATGTCGTATACAATATAAGCTTTGCTGATCGTGAGCACCCTGTATGTATTTTATTATACCGTTTAAGAAAGTAGCGACGATGAATTGTTGCCGCGAAATGAGACAAATTTGTTTTCCTAAAGATATAAATAAACAAATCACATTCGCATTCAAATTCGGCAAAGGAACGACAAATTGTTTTATTGTCGTCACGATGGTTTGAAAACTAAAGAGGAATTAACATTCAAAGGGAATGGAAATACGGATATCATATTTGGTTAACTTATTACAACAAATAAAATTGATCAACAAATAAAATTGATTGTAAATGTAAATTTTACCTTTGTGCTCACGGCTTTTATCCAAGTCTGAATCCTCTTTATCCTTTTCGTCGTCGGATACCATTGCGTCATCATCATCATCGGTTTTATTTTTTGGTTCCCATGTCATTTTATTTTCCTTTTTGAGTCGTCGTCGCGCATTTGCAAACCAAGTTGAAACTTGAGTTAATGTCATTTTGGTAATAATTGCAAGCATAATCTTCTCGCCCTTTGTTGGATAAGGATTTTTTTTGTGTTCATTTAGCCACGCTTTGAGAGTTGCTGTCGATTCACGTGTCGCATTTTTTCGACGTGCGGCCAAATCATATCCGGCACCATATCTACAAAATAAAGAAAACATAATCAGTTCCAATAATTTTTCTTTCTATATAGCTCTTCTATCTCAAAAATCATTGTATCAGTAATTTACTATGTACTACACACGATTTATTAGATTAGTTTTTGACACTTGTCTCCTGGACTAACATTTCTATGCTAAAAATGTAAAGGTAATCTTTTCGTGTTGAACATAATTTTTATTTACGGAAAGCAAGAAAGAATCATTCAACAAAATGATTCGATTTAAGTTAACGTTACCTATGAACTCTTTACATTTTGCGAATACAGTGATTTTTAGATCCCAACAGAAATCGCAGAAATCATAGAATTCAAATTTCACGCTTCCTACAGATCATTCATACAATCATTTTATTTGTATACTTTTGTAAAAAAATTGTTTGAGAATTGTGCGAAAATAATAAAATTAATAAATAAACTAACTTATTTCCTGGTTCAATATTTAAAATCAATTTTATTTAAAAAAAAAATTAAGTCAACAATCGAAACACATGTACAATTGAAGACAAAAATCATCAGGAAACAACCGGTGTGGTTTATCAAGTCATTGGTTGAGTTGAAGAACAAAGTCAGCAAAGCGCATCGAAATAGAAAATTGCTCAACACATCAGAATCAATTGAACATTTCAAACAAATAAGAAGGGAATATAAACGAAGTGCACGCTCAGCTCTCAGGGATTACAGAATTGAAATGGAAAAACAGATAGATAGGGAAAAGTGAAGATCTGCCGCATGAGATGACTTATTTGTGATCTGCGATATGACAGCTTGGGAATAGAAAAAATACGTGATACACCCTCCAATCTAAAAGTTCCGAGACTTTTTAAAAATAATAGATACCAGTGGCGCCACCTTTATGCGTTAGAAAGGTACTTGCCCCACTGACATTATGTCCAAGTTTCATGAGGATCGGATGTAAACATGTCCAAGATATTGCGTCTTATTTTTTAGTATCTTTTGCTCTCGGTGACAAAATGAACTTCAAACAAAAAATTATCAACTTTTGTGATAAATTTTGAAAGTTTTAACGAATTAGATATTTCAAAAACCATTTTATTATGATTGCTCATGCAATTGTCTATAAGCTAGAAAAACTAAGACTTGCTTAATAAGTTGTCAGATCAGCAATTTTCGATCTGTTTTTTGCGATTTTTTCTTTCAAAATATTCATTTTTGTTATTTTTCAGAGATTATAATAATACCCTCTGTTGGGACTGCTATGAGCATACTCATAATGCATGCTCATACACTCACACACTGAACGCAAGACTTTACATCATAAGTGCAAAGCGCACACACACTAGTACACACACTAGTGCACAGAACAGAGGGAAAGGAGAGAAGCGGTTTATATTTTAAGTTAGTTGCTATAAGACCACAGAACAAGAAAGACATAATAAAATATATATTAATTGTGCACAGAAGAAAAGACCATGAGTTTCATTTGAGAATATAAGATCTATTTACACAGATCGAACACCCTCCCAGATTTTACGAAAAATTTTGAAATTACCCCCTCAGATTTTTCGATTTTTTTTTTAAATTACTTCCCCCTTAAACTCAGGACGTCAGAATCAGGGAGTCCCAAGTCCTTCATTACTTCAACTCTTTCAATTTGCACGTTGTAATTATAATCATATTCATTTATTTTTGTCTTGTCAACGTTTAACTTAAATAGATTGCGTCTATAGTAATCTGCTACACGATCCAAATCCCTTTGAAGATGAATGCAGTCATCTTCTGATTTTATACATTTTGAAATTTCGGTATCATCAGCGAATGAAAGGATGTAAGAATTGGTCACGACGAAAGGTAGATCAATCACAAACATGATGAACAAAGATGCACCAATGGGATAACCTTGACCAGTACCAGAAGTTACTTCGATTGGGTTAAATTTGGTATCTGATATCTTGACTATTTGTCTGCGACCAGACAAATACGATTCGATCCATTTTAACAGCTGGGTATTCAATCCCATGATGTTTAGTTTTTGAATTAGTAATTGTATATTCACAGAATCAAAAGCCTTTGCAATATCCAAATATATGGTGTCTGTTTGATGTCCCTTTCCCATGTTGATTATCGTATTCGATGTAAATTCTGCCAAGTTCGTTATCGTTTTGATGAACCCATGCTGACTTTCGTGTACCATGTTCGTTAGATATTGATTGAGATGGTTCGTGACGATTGAATCTAGAATTTTTGACACTATACATTGAACAGCGACACCACGGTAATTTTGAACGTTGTTTCTGTCACCGTTTTTGTAAACCGGTCTTACAAAAGACTTTCTCCAAATCTGTGGTACAGTGCTTGTTTCAAGAGATTCTCTTAACAATGATGTGATTGGCCCCTGCAATGAAACCAAACAATTCTTGATAAATTTATTTGCTATTTCATCTGGACCACTGACTAGATCATCAGAGAGCATGTCAATTTGTTGTCCAACAAGCTCCTCACTTATTTCAATCGGTGATATTTCTGCATAAATGTCACGAATATTTTCAATCTCCGAGCTCTCAAATCGTAGATCTCCCTTCAAAGAGCTGTAGGCTGAGGCAAAGTGCTTTGCAAAGAAACCAGCGATTGTAGACTGGTCATCTGCCCTCATATCCAGATAAGACATCTCATGCGGCAGATCATCACTCTTCCCCTTTTTGTAATTCACATGCCTGAAAAACTTCTTTGGATCATCGTCTATCAAATTCTCCATCTCAATTCTGTAATCCTTGAAAGCTGACCGTGCACTGCGTTTATATTCTCTTCTTAATTGTTTAAAATATTCTACTGATTCTATTGTGTTGAGTTTATTTTTAATGTGATGTGCTTTGTTAACTTTGTTTTTCATCTCGATAAGTGGTTTGTTAAACCATATCGGTTGCTTCCTGATGATTTTTGATTTTAACTGGACATAAGTTTCGATTGTTGACTTTACAATTGTATAGAAATTGTCTAGTCTTAATTCTAATGTATTTGTATCGAATTCCTTATTCCAGTCAACATCAAGAAGAGACTCATTTAATAGTTTATAGTCAGCATTTATGTAGTCTCTATGTGTTTGCTTTGTTTCAACAGTTTTGACGACTGGCTCATTATATCGAATATTGATTGCATTGTGGTGCTTCTCAAAATTTAACAAATGATAGTCACTCATGTAACACTGGAACAGCTCAACATCATTTGAGAAGACCAAGATCATAGCAAGTATCCAGCACTACCTTCTCTTTTTCACTGGCTGCATTTATAGCTATTGCTATGTCAACAACCCGAAACATATCTTCGTCAACAACCCAAATCAATTTGGGCAGGTTGAAGTCGCTTGAAACTACTAAAACATCACTTATACTCAACTCTCAAAGCATTCATGTTGTTTTCGTATACCTTGAGTGTTGAGTCTGGTCGAATATATAATTGTACCAAATAGATGTTCCTTTTGTGGCCAACTACTTTCACCCAAATCTGTTCCGCCTCAAACTGGTCACCCGTTCCGATGCAGATCGACTTCAATTTGTTGTCAACAGCAATCCAGACCCCTCCTCCATTCTCCTTGCGATGAACTTGGTCACTCTCGGTGTTTGGCGACCGATCACAACGATATACTTCGTACATCTGCTGAAACAAGTCAGTTGAATTAATGTCGATATTCAGATAAGTCTCCCGCAGCATGTAAATTGGTGAAACGTTCAAGAACTTCCCTCATAAACTCCGGAAATTTTTATTTTAATCCATTTACATTTTGTGATGTTGAATATTTTTAGCTGTCTTGAATATTTTTCATCGTTTAAATTGTATGTAGTACTCATTTTTGTTTGTTGTGGCATCTAATAGCGGTTTCTGGTTTGCCATAGCTGAGCCGACGGCCGAAGACCCCTCCGAACTCGTTGAAAATCCGCAAAACTTTTCTTGAATTCGATAAAACAAGAGCGGCAATCACAATCATCAAAATGCGTTCTATCTCTCGTCGAAACATCCTTAAAATGATAATTTCTTGATTCTTGACGAATATGCTGCTGATTTTGTTGTTGTTGTTGCTGTGTCCGCTTGTTTCTTTCTTTCTTTTTCATTCTTTCTTCTCCTTCTTCTTTCTTTTCATCTGTATTTGTACTGTTCTCGTTTTGTTGTGATACCATTTCTGTACGCTGTTGATGCACTTGCGCCAATGTTTATGCCATCACTGTTGATTTGTTTTTCATCATTGTTTTTTTTCATTTATTTCACTCAACAGCACATCTTTCATTTCTTCGATTTTTGATGATATCATTTTTTCAACCGTGGCATAAGTTAATGGTTCAATTACATCATGAAAATTATCCTCGTTATCATTTGTTTTCAATTTGATTTGCATTTTTCACAAGATAACGGTGATTTCCCGTCAAAAAAGTCATTTAGTTTGATTTGTGCACTTTGAACGTCAATTGTTTCGCACATTTTCCATTGGTTTTCATTATCTCTGTGCATTATTCCCAGAAAACCCATAAAATCTTTTTTTTCCGGTTCTATTTCGTATGCACTCTATGAAACAAACAAACCTTTGTAATACATACCGGTGTACTTGTTGTCAACACAAGAATGAATTGTCATTTTGTTTTATATGCAATTACAACAACAACACGAACTGAAGTTTTTCAATACTATTTACTATTTTTATTTTTTAGTTTTTTGTTAAAACAAATTCATCAAGCATTGTTTGATTTCATTACAGGGGCCAATCTCAACTCTGTTAAAGGAATCACTTGAAACTGCCACTGTACCGCAGATATGGAGTCAGACCAGTTTACAAAAACGGCGATAGAAACAACGTTCAAAATTACTGCGGTGTCACACACCATTTCAATATATATTTGAAGAACATCGTCCACGACAGTCAGCATAGGTTCATCGAGAACAGGTCAACGATTCATGCATACTTTCATTCGCTGATGATACAAAACTTTCGAGATGTATCACCCCAACAGGTGACTGCATTAATCTTCAAAATGAC